TTTTTTTTTTTGCCGAAACGATAGAGGTATTATAAATCAAAACGCACAACTGTGCAAAAAATCTACCCAATGCTGAAAATTACAACCAAGAACTAGAAGCTGGGAGGACGGATCGAAAGACCGTCTAGAGCCTCGATAGCCACGCTAGAATAGAAAACACGCAACACACAACTAAAAGACACAAACACACCAACTACGATCGCTCCACACAGGAGAATAGAAACGCCCCTCACAGGGGAATCAGTACTAGGGCCAAGGCCCAAACCTAAAAAACAAGACAAAAAATATTACAAACACAGACTCAAACAAACTAAAACTAAAACAGACACAAACAAACAAACAAATCTAAAAGCATAAAAACAAATCTGAATTTTGTTTGGAATTTGATAATTGTCATTGCGTCATTTGAGAATATTTAGTTGTTATCGAAAACCAAAATCAATTTGAGTTAGAGTGTTTAAGAACTTAATTTCTTTTTTTGTGGTTGAATAATTGTGCAATATAATTCAGCTAATCTTCTCTGCGATACGACTCGAGGATTGAATCTTTCGATTTAACTCTGGTAAAAACTATAATAAATTGTTTAATTATTTCATAGGTGAAGTGCCATTAATAGTTGTAGAAGCTGTTAGTTCTACGTACAATGCATGTGTTCGTGTGGGCCTTTAGTGGTAGAAAAATTAAACATTTACTCTATTTTGTTTACCTAATGCTTATCTTTCGCTAATTTACAGAAGCAGTGATGGAGCTAATTATAGAAGACGGTGGTTCAGAGTAAATTAAAGGTGATTATTTGGTCTTTATGTTTGTGAAAAAAGACCCTTTGTATCAGGCTGACAATTTTTTATTTTTTTTCTTTTTTTTTTAAAAAAAAACGTTGTGTATAAAGATGTATTCAATAATTTATGATTTTTTACTTTGATTGCCACACATTTATTTTAGTTACACGTATAAAGAAAATATTTTAATTTTAATATTTTATATATTAAATATTTTAGAAAAATATATCATCTCATGGGTCGCGATTAGTTGAAGATAGTAAGGTTGAATTAGAGCTTGAGTTGATATTGATTTTTTTAATGCTTAATTGCTAATAAAACCATAAACTTTTAAAAAATTACAATTATATGCACAACTTTTAAACTTGACAAATATATACACCACTTTGACTATTGTTGGCAATTACATGCACAATGCCCGAATTTGGGCTAAAATTTTAACTTGAGACCTCAAGGTTGCATGAAGGCATTGTAACCACCACACCAATCCAAGTTGTGTGTAAAATTTAATAGCCTTTAATATATATGGACACTAGGTATGAATAATGAAATTTTTAAAAGATAATGGTGATTATATCAAATTAAAATAATAATATATAAACTTTTAATAATTAAAATATAACAAAATAAATTATATACTATTAAATAATAAATAAATTAAAATAAAGTAAGATAGAATTTATTAAAATATAGTGCATATAAATAAAATTTAAATAAATTTATATATTTATATTTTATTAAAATAAGATTAAGTATATAAATTTGGAAATAAAAAAGAATAATTATAAAATTAAATTAAAAGACAAACTAGATTAAAGTACACCAATTAAAATAAAATAAAAATAATAAAATATAAGATGATAGTATAAAAAATGATAAAATAAAATAAATAATAAATAAAATAATATTATTTTATTTTATTATATTTATTTAATAATTTTTATTTTTTTATTTTATTATTTCACAACAAGATATTTGATTTATTACTTTATTTTATTTTACAATTTTTATACTTTATTATCTTATATTATATCATTTTTAATTATTTTACCTGTTGTATTTTAATCTAGTTTATTATTTAAGTTATTTTTATCATTATTAATTTTCATTATCAAAATTATATGATTAATTTTCATTATCATTATTAATTTTCATTAATCTTAATTATATGATTAATCTTATACATAGTGTCTATATATATTAAACACTAATAATTTTAACATACAACTTGGATTGGTATGGTGGTTACAATGTGTTCATGCAACCTTCGGGTCTCAAGTTTTTAATTATTAAAATTTTATACTATTATTATAATTTAATATAATTTACATTATCTTTTGAATTTAATTTTATTTATTCATACATAGTGTCTTATATATTAAACACTAATAAATTTAACATACAAATTGGATTGATATGGTGGTTACAATGAGTTCGTGTAACCTTTGAGGTCTCAAGTTTAAACCCCAACAATGTTAAATTTTGTTTATCTCCACGTTAGCAGCTACATCAACAGAAAATTACCATGTCAGCCACGCCAGCTACGATGTCAGCAAAAAATATTTTTTATCTCCACGCTAGCAACCACATTAGCAGAAAATTGTTACGTTAGCAGCGATGTCAGCAGAAACGTCACGTCAACAGCGATGTCAGCAAAAAAGCTCGAATATGGGCCATGTGCATGTAATTGCCAATAAAAATGGTGAATATATTTGCCAAGTTAAAAAATGGTTCATATATTTGCAATTTTCGGAAATGTCATAGTTTTATTAATTAGTAAGCATTTTTCAAACTAATTTTACCATTTTTTTACAAGCTAGTATTATAATAAGCTAATCAAAATTGCAATTATAATACTAGTAAAAAACAACTTACACATCAAAAGTCAAAACAACTAACACATTTTTTCTCTTCTTTAAATTAAGTAATTTATAATTTTCAAATAATAAGATTATAAATTATTAAGAAAGATGTTTTACAATCTTTGTTATATTTGACTATGCAATTTTCATAAAACCAGTATAAATCCTATCATGTATATCCTACTAAATAATTATTGATTTATTTAAGCCTATCTAGAATCATAATATAATTTGTGGCCATAGACGATGTACAAAAATACCAAACAAATAACATTGTGTACAAGGATGTGTTTAATAATATATAAATCATATTTTATTTTATTCTAATACATGGTTTTACGTTCTTCCAGTCATCCAAATTTAAATGTCCACCTTATTAATACTAGTCCGTACATTGCGCAGGTATTGCACTAGTACTAGTAAAAAAACAACTAACGTATTAAAAGTCAAAACAACTAACACAATCCATCCAGAATGCTCGTTTTGAAACATGGCAATATATGTTGCCTCGAACACACAATATTATTTCACTTTTATTTTACTTTTCCTTTTCCAAATTCTATTACATTTAACATATCTAATTTATGGATTATGGAGACATTACGATTTGACCTCTATAAAAATTCTAGCTTTTCAGTTAATCTCACATATTTCTCTCTTGTTCTACACATCGTAGATAAAACATTTTTTTTTTTCGTGATTCTTGTGATTATTTTTCTGTATTTATGTACACCAATCGACGTTGATTGTGTCTCCGATTGATTGTTCATCGGAATAATCGGATCGACGACGATCAGCTGAGGTTCGTGATGTTCTGTTTGATTTTTCCTTTTCACTGTTGGGTTTTGCTGTTGGATTTTTGGTTGACTGGTTAAGCTTTGATAAATTTTGGAATTAAGCTGGGTTTTTTTGTGGGGTTTGCTCAGTGAGATTTAGTTTTTTAGCCGGCTATTGATTTTTTGTTCATTTGTTGATTATTATTATTATTATTTTTTTTTAATTTATCCCAACCCATTGATGTGTGTACCTATTTGAGTTTTAACTTTTTTTTTTTTTTTTTTTTTTTTTTTTTTTTTTTTTTTGTATATATATATATATATATATTTTTTTTCTTCTGCTTTATATAGTAACTTGTCTACATGTTGCTAAATGCTGCTTTTTTCAACCCATTTTAGTGGATAAATTGAAGGATTGCTGAATGTGGTAATGTGGTGGCCTAGGTTCAATCTACATATCTTGCTCAGATTGCTTTATTTGTTATTATTTTTGTAGTAATTGAATACCTTGTAGTGCCCTTTTGGTGATTGAATAATCTTGTTTTGTAGTCACTGAAACATATTGTTTGGTAATTGAATTGCATTTTTTTTTCTAATCACCATAGGTTTGTTTATGGTAAATTGAAATTGAGATTTTCTCCGAGATTCCAGCCAATCCGGAATTACGTATCTACAATGCGTCATGTCAAATGTGTAGTGTTACTATAACAACCACGTGATTCGCAAAAAAGAACACTTTTTGACGACATTGATGATTGATCACCGTGTCTCAGCTTGAGACTTGTTTGAGCTGTCGTTAGGCTGACACTGTCTTTGCGTTCCGAGGATTTGTAACCTTTATGCTTTAAATATTCTTTTCGTTGCACTTCAATGCATTTGAGGATGAAAAGGTTCATTTTTATACTGTCTTTCCAATTCTATGCTGCCCTGGATCTTTGTTATTTATGGAGAGAGAGAGAGAGAGAGAGAGAGAGAGAGAGAGAGAGGAAAATGTTGTCAAGCTTGCAGTTTTGAGTTAGAAATGCATTCATTTGTTATGGCCCTTAAATTTGAACCTTCTTTAGAGTTTAGACCACAGCGTTGATGCCTCAGCATGGTGTATTTCCTTTGTGTATTTTCTATGTTTGTGGAGTTTTCTTATAGTGAGATATTCTTCCGATATATTACGTGATCGTGTGCAGGATTTAGCTTGCTGAAGAAGTTACTTAAGACAAATCAGTCGGCTATGGGGCATAGACAGATGCTTAACGCACCTAACATTCTTGAGACTGATGGTGGTCAAGAATGGAATCACTCTGAACAGCCTTACATGCCGACAAGTATAATATTCTACTTCTAAAATTTCATCAACTGTCATTATTTCATTATTCAACGTCTACATATTTTCTTTTCCTTTTTCTTTTTCCTTTTTCTCTTTTTCTTGTGTGTTATCTGTGAAATCATGAAACGATTTCTACGACACTGTTGACTGACTGATGTTAGCTTATTATCTGTCCATAATCACTGCATGTTCTGGAAGAGCTGAAGCTTTGAATGAGATATTGTTTTTAACCGCAATCCATCCTTGTTTTCATTAGATGTATTTTTATGATGATGTACTCGTGGCAGCATGAGAGAGGACAAAAAAGAGTTACAGCTATTAACCACTGTCATTATCATATATAAGTTGTTAGCATGAGATTGTGCAACTAATCCCCGAGTTTAGCCTAAATAGAACTTGATTTTTCTGTGCTTAAATCATTTAGCCATTGTTATATTATCATCTTTTATGTTCGTACATAATAATATATTTCTTTATCTAATCTTTCTTTTTCATTTTCCTTAACAAATCGTAGCAATAGTCGGAGCTTCTGGAAGCAGTCCTCTCATTTACCCTGCAGTGAATATCCAAGGTGGACCATTTGCATTATCTACTCCTACGTCAAATGGACACCACTGGTCTATTCTTAATGTTGAATCCACACATACTGAGACAGAAGCTTCTGATCCACCCCATGATCCTTTTCTCCATAAACCTGCTGATACAAATTCTCGTTTGGTCCCAAATAACTATTTGCATGGAGATTTCAATAACCAGACTGTGGGCAAAGTGTCTCAGAAGCGTAAAAATCCTTATGTACCTCAAATAAGTGAGATGGGCTCCACAAGCAGATATTATGATGCTGGAAGTTCGTCGAATTTGCACTTGCCAGCTATACCATATCAGGAAAACCAAAATGTAGATTCTTATCCTACAACTTGGAAGTATCCTCCTGGACACGTATTGAATAGCCTTTCCATCGGTGGTGAAAGTACACCGAGAAATGTGAGAAGTAGAGGCAACGCTGACGTGGAACCCACTCCGGACAGGACTCGTTCGAGCAATTTTCTTAATCCTTTTTCGAGTCAATCGTCTGACCAAACTACCTTATTGGGATCGAGTACCCTCATACCACAAGCTGGTCATGGGGTAGCTATGGCTTCTGGTAAGTTTTCACGTCTTTTTTTTTTTTTTTGGAAGTGTTGGTTCTTTGTTATTACAGTAATTACACTTGAGATTTGACCTAATTCGGCGTCTTCGTAATAAAGTTCTATAAATGGTAGTGATTATGCGAACAAATATAGTATATTTAAAAATTCTGAATGATAGCTTAGCTAATTTGATTAACTATGGTACTAGCTCATTTGCTCATGACCCGAACACCTTGGGCTCACTAAACAGCCATTCTAATGTTTCTATAGAGAGTGAGGGTTTAAGCAATAATGGCGGGGCATTGAATAGGAATACTATTCATCAAATTGCCAACTATAATGCGGACCAGTCTTTCGGAAAGAATATAAGTGGCTATCTCCAGAGAACTGTCCCTACTCTTGGGGCCTCGTCGAGCAGCTTTCAAGCAGTGCAGCTAACGGCTCCAAATGATGGGCCACCAATTACTTCAGAAAGTAATTTCTCTAGACATCGACAGGTCATTTCTGCCATGAGATTGCTTAATAGAGAAAGGAATGTGAGAATTGGGATGCCGAGTGACAGAGTTAGATTGGCTGCTCATGAGGCAAGTGCATATTTGCGAATATTCGGTCTTTATATTTACTGTTTGTGAAGGCCATATTACTGAAGTTACTACCATGATTTTTACTTTATATGGTTTGATTATTTTGTGAAGCCTTCTTTGAGTGAAATATCTTAGTAATTGAATTCAGTGGGATACTATGATTAGCCATTGCTTAAGATCTAGGCATAGTTGATATATATTATTCTTGGCATGGAGGGTCTTTTTGGATACGTTTAATATGTTTTGTCAGTTCTTTCGGTCATATTAGATTTTCTGTCATTATGGTAAAAAGAGAAAGTAAATGGTAAAGGAAGAAAAAAAGGGATTTAGATCAATATCCGAAACTGGGTTTGACATTTTGCATGACTGCATATCTTGCCTTTCGCGTTATATTATGCACCTGAAAATTAATGATTCAATTCTTAGTTAAATCTTTATTATCAGATACTATTAAATATAAGACTACATCTCTCTTCATACATATTCATCAATTGAACACTTTTGAGAAACATGCTGGAAATATGTACCCATATTTTTCACTCGCAAATGGCACTTTGTTTCAGCGCCTCTTGGCTTTGGGCCGTTCTGCAGTCTATGGACCCAATAATCCTTTTGATCAACACAGGGACATGAGACTCGATGTCGACAATATGAGCTATGAGGTCATATTTATACTCCTTTCCTCCTATTTATCCGTTTATCTTATAGGGAAAAAATATTAAAAGAAAATCTGGTTATTTTTTTTTTTTTTTTCCTTAAATGTATTCTTATTTACACCTTTTGGTCAACTGAAAGAACATAAGCAAATTGACCATCAACAGGAACTCCTTGTACTGGGAGAGAGGATTGGAAGTGTCTGCACAGGCTTATCTGATGATCTAATTTCAAAATGTCTGACCGAGTCAATATTATGTTCGTCTGATCAATCTGAAGACGATGGAAGATGTGTTATTTGCCTGGTGAGTTTCACAGTGCTCCAACTCGTAAACATCAAATTATCATCATCATCATTATTATTATGGTAGCTTATGTATATTATCAGTTTGGTTGATTGGCTTATCGTTTCTATTCGCATTAGACTTCCGAGAAGTTTATATTTTTTTTTGTCGTCGGTTTTTTTCTTTTGAAGTGCAAATACCTAAGTGGTGTGATGTGATTGTGTTACCAGGAGGAATACAAAGACATGGATGATCTTGGGAGTTTGAAATGTGGCCATGATTTTCATGTGGGCTGTATTAAGAAATGGTTATCAATGAAGAATTTGTGCCCAATCTGCAAGACATCTGCCATGGATGAGAACAAAAAGGATAAGTAATATTAATTACCTAATTTTGTATTAAATTATTTATTAAAACCATAAAGTGGGTGTGCCAATTTGGATCACCTTATTTACTATTTGTGCCATTTGAAGACAAACTTATGTGTGAGCTATACATTATTGTGCCCTTAATATCCAAATGTTATGTGATTTTTTATGTCATTGTGACTATACAATGGATACAAGTACCTGCCCTCTTGGTTTTTTAGTGTTGTGAATGTTTTGCATGAGAAGTTTTTGCATGGTGCTATTAGATGTCTAACTAGGTAAGTATTTTTTTTTTTTTTTTTCAATAAATTTTATATACCTCTATACTAAAATGTTATTCTTCAAATGAATAATAAAAAAAAAAAAAAAAAAAAAAAAAAAAAAAAAACTCATAACATCATAATATTTCATTCATTTTTTATCATCTCTCACCTCATCAATTTTTTTCTATTTTTTTTTTATTTTTTTTATTTTTTTTATCATCTTCTTCATTAACTAGCAAGGCCCCTTACGTATATTTTTGCTGTCAAAATAAATAGTTCCTTATTTTTCTGTCTATTTTCGATTTGTTCACTAGAACTCATTATAAAATCACTCTCTCAACCCAAGAGCGCTTGGATGAGATGGTTTGGGTCTCTTCCAGCTTAACCAGTGGTCTCGTGTTCGAGCCCTGGGAATGCAGCAGTGTTAAAACTCTTGAGGGAGAGCTTTGCCGCCCTTGTGGTCCTACCCAGCTCGATTCCGGATTAGTCGGTTCCCCTGTGGATCCAGAAACCGGGAGGTCCCTGTACCAAAAAAAAAAAAGTTTCAAACCCATGCAAAAATGGGGTCGTCGACGTCTCCTCTCCTCATCATCTTTATCCTTTGCCCTTTTCTCCTTCATGCACACTCCAGCCTCAAAGTTCTCTTGTCTTTGAAGTTATCCCTCGTCGGGCCCTCGAGCTTGAGCCTTGACAACTGGGCCGATTCGATGTCTCACTATCCACACTTCTTCTTCTCTGTCGTCGATTGCGATATCGGCAGCCGCGTGGCTTTGCTCAACATCGTCGACGTCCCGATGTCACGCGCCCTCCCGCCTGGAATCGGCATGCTGGGAAAACTCGTCAACCTCACCCTCTCAGGGACCAACCTGATCGCCCCTGCCGGCAAAAATCCATGACTTAACCTCGCTGAAGCTCGTAACTATCAGTCGCAACTTGTTCGCCGTTGCCGTTTTCGGCGAGGTTGTGGCTAGCCTAGCCAACCTCGAGGTGTTCGACGTGCTCAACAACAACTTCTCTCGCCCCGCCGAGGATGGGTCTCCAAACCGTCGTCTCTCGATCGGGGCTGCGTACCGACTTCGCCAGGGCCGACATCCCTGGCCACACTCCACATGTTTGACGAAAGTCCCAAACCACCACTAAAACCAAGCTTTTTTCGCGAAAAGGATTTTCCAATTCTCAAAATGTGACGTGGCTCTCCAGGAGAAAGCCGGCCGCGAGGCCTCCAGAATCAAAATCTCATCCCTCCATGCGTTTGTGGCCTACGTGTGGCGGTCCGCCATACGCTGCCGTTTTGTGGGAAAAACTCGATCAATCGTTTTGCTTTTCCGATTACGAGTATATGGAAGCTGGGAGCTTGGATAGGATTCTCCACAACCTCACCAATTTAATGAGATTTTACGCATGGGAAAGAAGCTAGAACAAATTTTTTTGAATTGCTTCTACCTCTATATACCTTCGCAAGGAGTGCGAGAGCCAGATCATCCACAACGATGTGAAAACATGAAATATTTTTCTGGTAAATTTTGATCTTGTAGCTACTTTGGCCAACAAACATGATATTCTTGCATTGTGGTCAACGTTTATCATATCGATACCACTCAACCGATAATTAATAAGTACCTATTTTGTGGTATAAGGTATCAATATTGTGTCGTGATAGTACTCATTTTCTCGTACTTAGTACCTACTTTGTTGAACAATAAAAAAAGCATGAATAGTACTCGGATACATGTTTGTCTTAATAACGGTACTAAGTATAGTGTATGATAGTTTCTCATACGTAGAAATTAGTACCAACCTGGTCAAAGAACATGTATTACTTTAATTTTGTTCAACGTTAATGAGATTTATACGGACTCAATAGTGTAACGTTTCTATACACGGTAAGTACATGTTTATGGGTCTACAATACCAACTCTATTGACTTCAAAAATGCTAAATTTTGGTCTTAAATAATGTTTTTATTACTTAAAATCACTCATACATAAGTTTTAATGAATTTATGAATTTGTGTAATTAAGTATCCTCGACCAGAAGTGATGAACTCAACACATGGACAATACATTAACGAACAAGTCTATTCTAAACGAGCCTAAATCGACTGACGTTTCCCCTCTCGGTTCTAATCGTCGATTAACTAGGTTAGAATTGTGATCAATCAACTAACCCTATAATTCACAACTCGCATAGATTTGAACAATTAAAAGCATGCAATCATAAACGAACTGAAACAATCATCCGCTATCTCTAGTGAATGGATTTGCTACTCATTACGAATCCAACATCACAATTCACATTAATCCAAGCCATCATCATCAAAAACAAATTGAGAAAAAAAAAAACTTACGATTAATGTAAAATCCCAATGTTAAATCCAAGTGCAATCCAAATCCAAAGCAAGAGAAGGAGTTTTTCAATCTCCAAATCAAATCCTAAGTGAAAAACTAAAGAGAGGAATAAGTTTTCTAAAGAGAAAAAGTATAAAACATAAGTCTGGAATCGAATAGAAGGCCCTAGGTCTAAAAACTGATTAAAAATCCCGAAAAACGATTTCCGCGTCTCTGAGTCGCGACTTCTCTACTTCTTTAGGTCGCGAGTCGCGACTTCCTCACGAGTCGCGTGTCGTCAAATTCTTCAAAATTCGGGGGAGTCGCGACATCTTCTCGCGAGTCGGGACTCGAGTTTGCGAACTGCACCATCAGGCTCTAAAAAACTCGCGGGCCGTGACCATGTCGCGAGTCACGAAAAATTTTGGCCTCCATTTTTTTCCAATCCTTCAGAATTCTTTGTCATCTTCTGGGCTCGCCAACGGATATTGTCAATGATCACGGTCTTGGCTCAAGCAGTTTCAACGTCGACCGGCACAACCTACCTCCTACAAACAAAAACAAGAAAAAACACGAAACAAAACACAACAAAAAGACGCACAAATAAAAACTAAAGAGAAAAAAATAAACTCGAAACAAAGACAAAAAATGGTACAAACATATGTCAATTTTTTTTGTCATGGATAATGTAGAAATTAATTATATGATCTCAATTGTATCATTTCCTCGTGCCTAAAATCATTTTATGCTTTCTATGCAAAAAGTGGAAAGAATTAAAAAAAAATATATATATATATAAAGAGTCAACTGGTCAAGGACCATATGCACACTCGGTCTCACAGATGGCACAATTTTATTGGTTAGAGATTTACTTTTTACGTAACTAAAACCAGTCACCATTGTTCCAGATTCTTCCTTTGAGAATGTACTCTTTGTGGGGTCAATTCATAATTAAGAAAAAAACTCCAGAACTTGGCTACAATTGCGCATCTGCTACACTTTCTGGGGTTATTTCATAAATAAGAGAAACGTTAAGGATCTAATTGCAGTTTTTGCATCTTGTTGAACAAAGTTACAAAACAACAGACATGAGCTCTTGTGGATTTTCTTTTATCTTTCTTTTTTAGTTAGTTTTCCTTTTAAGAGAAGGAAAAAAAACCGGCGATGGATTTCGACGGCGACGGCGACGGCGATTTCGATCGCGTGCCTCCGGCATTTGATCGTGCGGTATCTATTCTCTCTCTCTCTCTTCCTCTCTCTGATCTCATTTCGTTTTAGCTGGATTTTGGTAGATCTGTTTTTTTTTGTTTGTTCTAAGTTAGTTTAGCTGAATTAATTGTGCCGCCATTGAAGTTTTATGAGATTTAATCGTCTTGATCTATGTTTATGTTGATAGCTTGATGTGATTCTGTTCCTGCATGTTGATTCTTCTGAAGGGAGAAAAAAAAAAAAAAAATTGTTGATTTGATTGTTTCAGCTTGGTTTTGTAGGTGACGGATAGGTTTGTTTCGATGTAGATTTTATCGTGGTTGTTTTCAAATTTTTTGTGTTCTGGATTGAATTTGTCAAATTAAACATGTTCAATGATGAGGCAAGTGTCCACCTAGAAAAGATTCTTCATTTTTCTTTCAGTATTTCATCTTACATTTGTGTGCAGTGGACACACACACACCTGTGTGGGTATCTATGTGTGTGTGTGTGTGTGTGTGTGTGTGATCCAATGGTGAGAAACTCAGTGTGTGCACTGCATTCACTTGTAGGATGGAATATAGTAATCTCATCATTTTATGGCGAAAAATCGACATGCAAGCAAATACAGTAAATATGCACAAATGAAGTATCTAATAGACAGAAGAATAATGCGGTGATATTTGACCATTTGATTATAGTTATAATTTCATCGAGCAGTGACAATTTGAGTCAATCGAGCCGCTACACGAATGTCATAATTATGCATATAAAAGTTACATCGACAGCCTATGGTTAGGCAGTTGGCTATTTCAATAGGTATGCTTAAAATGTCATACTCTAAAAGATAACATAACCAAAAGTATGAAATTTCATAGCATAATTATGTTTTTTTTGTTAAAAAAGTATGACGGGTTCACCCTCCTAATACTTAGATCCCTTCACACAAAATTTTTTTAAGTCACATGGAGACTGATGACCCGGTTTGTGCTAGATTATGTATCTCGAGAGGCCTTAACATTTATCCCTGTGTTCTCATTATAGACCTATTAGCAACTAATTATATGTCCTTTCGCAAAATTTTTCCAAGTTATTCATGCCATCTACTATAATCTTTGTACTTTTGGCATTTTTTACTTAACCTGCTGGATTAACAGAAAAATGCGGCACCGGACCTTGAATCCCAAGGACTCAACCCGGGGTTGATCGTCTTGCTTCTTGTCGGTGGACTACTCCTGTTGTTCCTTGTTGGGAATTACGTGTTGTACGTTTATGCCCAAAAGACTCTTCCCCCGAAGAAAAAGAAGCCCGTCTCAAAGAAGAAGATGAAGAGAGAGAGGCTTAAGCAAGGTGTATCTGCACCGGGAGAATAGATGGCATAAAGATGGTATCGTGTGCCTTCGAGATTAGAAGCAACCCTGTTGTATTTTTCTAGCTGAATGCCTGAATTGCAGGTTATGTTTTTATACAAGGTGATGAGGTTGTTAGTTTACTGGTGTTGGGTACTTGTAGAATCTTGTTTAAATTCGATGTTATGCTTTTTAATGTTGGTGTTTTTGAGTTTGAGGTGAGACATTTTGAGGATCAAAAACATTTTTATGTTTTTAAGTTTTTTGAGGCTTTCTAAACTTTTCAAAATATGTATGTAATCAGATAGCAAATGTTTTTAACATAGAAAATATAAATAATTAAATTTACCTTTCCAATTTTGCTACAGGCTTAGTAACTGGGAGTTATTTGTTAACGGGTTTGTGCGTCTTATTCCTAAAGATACAACGACTATTGGGTCTGTGTGTCTTATTCCCAAAGATACAATGACTATTGACTCAAAAATTGTAGCACCCCAAATTTTAGAACTCAGTAAAAAAACATTATAGAGGCATAGCCCAATATCCAATTCCAAACCGTTCAAGGCTGCTGCTCAAGTCTAGCCCACAATCCAGTTATCAAGACCCAAGTTTTAGGCCCGTGTCCATTTATGACTAATTTTCTCACTCACTGAAAATCGGTATGAGAAAAATAAATATACACTAGTATTTACTCGAAACATATAATTTTTCTTCACAATTTAGTTTAACTTGTATTAAATATTTACCATAAAAAATCAATTCAAATTGGATCAAATGAATGCATGTATACTATTGTGTTCAATTCTTACTAGACTATATTGTACCGAAAAATGTAACATGTGGTTTGATCTTTTTTAAGTAAACATCATCAGATGTACAAGCGGCTTAATGGACACAGTGACTTAGCCATGAACAACACTTTTGATTCATAAGTGTTTACATTTAAAGAAACCTCACTTCACACTTATATAGGTGACCTCAGTATTATATATTACTCTACCTTTAAAAGGTTATGGTTCAATAAAAGTCCAAACGAGTTACCCTTACCACAAACAATGGTTAAAGAAAACACTAGCCTGATTTCTTTTTTTTTTTTTTTAGAATGCAGTGGGCCCAAATTATCTTGATCTGATTCACCTTCCCGAGTACATGCCGAGAACTGCAGCCGACATATTGTAATTCGAGTAGCACTTGATGATTGTGTTCCATGGGAAAACACGACGGTTGGCAATTTCGTCGAACTGCTGACGAGCATAGTCGGTTTGTCCAGGAGTAGCATTGAATCGTTGTGGATTTGAGATTTAAGAATTATACCAATCTTTTTTTTTAAATGATAATTTCTACTGCTCGAAAATAACAAATTATAGATGTTTTTATTTTTAATAGATGTCGTTTTTGTTTAATAATAAAAGATATGTTACGGATATTTATTTTTTCGATCGCAAATTAGAGATAAATAATTACAATTAGGCAATATAAGTTGACACTTGACACATATGCATATGGTTCCTTAATAGAAACCCGCTTCTGGTTTCATAGAAAAACTGAGAGCCACAGTCTTTTGAGTTGTCCAAATTGACTGCAAACACTAATATATTCGCACCAGGGCCGGCCCTGAGGGAGGGCGACCTGGGCAACAGCCCAGGGCCCAATTCGTGGAAGGGGCACCGGCCCATATGCTATACTCTGCCTATATGTATACCACTATTGGTTTAATTCCATGAATTAAATAAGGTGAGCCTTCCCAAATAGGTATTTATTGTCCATGTTCTCTTCAACTTTTAACACACTTCCCCACACATTCACTTTTTATATTTTCTATAAACATATTTGTTTTTTACAAACCAAAACCACCGAACCGTCTTTTATACTACTACCTCCTATTTTTAATATATGTCGTTTTGAGAAATTGCACGTTAATTAAGAATATTTTTGTTGTCAATAATAACCTTATTTAATGAAGATAGAGATGAATGTTTTGAGAAAAAAAGTGAAGAGTGAATATGAAAAGACGTAATATATTTATTAGCTAAATGAGGGTAACAATGAAAAAATATGTAGAAAAGATCCAAAATGACATTTATTTGTCAAATAGTTGATAAAGCTAGAATGACATTTAAAAAAAATAGGAGGGAGTACCATTTATTTATTTCTCTCTAATCTTAATTATTATTACATCTAGTTACATTATCCTATTATACATATTTGGCTTACTTAAAAAATTATATTATTTGTTGTTTGGCCATTTAGTTAATTTATAGATTATATTTAATTAACTTCCTAAATTAGGTTCAGCGTGGTTTAAGGTTGCTTGATAAAAATTTTAAATATATTTAGTTTTTATTTTGTAACACTTATGGTTGATTTGTAATATGTTTTACCCTTTTTTAAGTTATGTGTTGGAGTTATTTGTTTTATAGCTCACACATAATTAACTAAATGTCTTTAATAATTAATACTATAATAATTTTATATTTTTATATGTATAAAATAATTCTAATAAAAATTTAATTATAATTTTATTTATTAATAACCTTTAGTTAAAACATCATCATGTTTGAACTAGTAAACAAACCATTCTTATTACATATAAAAACTACTACAAAATGTGAACCATATCAAATTTAACAACTAATTAATCTATGCAATAGAAGGATATTACATGATATTTGATTATGGTTATACAATGGATATTTTTCTGCTAAAAATTCTAACAAAACTTTGTAAGTAATTTTACTACTACTATATTTGTGCCGCTAAAAAGGGTTTTGTTGGTCAATTAGTTATTTGATTTGCCTGAAATTTACATGAGACATTATATTTTGTAAAAGCACTCAAGATATTATATATTGTAAATTTGAAAGATGAAAGTGTGCCATTAACCTTCATATACGTGATGAATTGTTAGCTATTTTGATGAAGTTGTGTTTTACATAAGGGATTGTTTAGCATAATAATTTTTGGGGCTTTGTTAATGTTATACAAATACTCAAGTTTTTTTATACATATAAAAATACTTGACATTATTTTTACATTTGGCCCAGGGCCCAATAATATTCAGGACCGGCTCTGATTCGCACGTAACTAATTCGATTCTATTAATGAGGGCATTGATTTTATTAAGTTCTTACCATTCGATCATACACAATTACAATTGATGAGGGTATTGTTTTTATTGAGTTTTTTACCATCCGATCACACATACAGTTAGACAATCATACGGATGCGTCTCGATGAAACAATAAAAAAAAATAAAAATCGATGAAGGTATGAAGGATCGAATTTTTTCCGGGCTCTACTGAAAGACATTAACACACATAAATCTTGTACATTAGTGCTGAAATTAATTATACATGAAATCTTGCTTTCTACAATATGCTCATCTCATGCAATAATTCATTTGGCAATTTAATCCACTAGTGACTGTCACACTTACAAAATAAATTAATTATTATATTGTAAGAGTCTCATTCACACACCATATTAAATCACCAATTAAAAAAACTCATGACTAAAGAGATATGAGGTAGCCCGATTCAAGTAACTCACTCCGAGTTTGATCAGCTCACAATTTTCTTTACCTAAAGAAATAAAAAGGTAAAATAAAATAATTACACGTAAAATCATAAAATATAAAAAAATCATCAGAATAAATAGAATTAAAAAATTTTGTGTTTGTGAAATATAATCTTCAACAAACATTTCTAAATATTTATGTATCTCTTTTCAAGTAATGCTTGGATAATCAAGATTTCATATTAAATTGAGATTATAAAAATCTTTTTTGGTATTTTATGTAAATATAAACAATTGAAATAATAGTTAAAATCATCTCATCTCACCCTCTCACCCTATATATTAATTCAAAACTTGTTGAGCCTAAGTGGCAGACTCACACGTTTCGGATGCTGACACGACAAAAATCTATGTTTCAGAATGTTGTTTGTATATTAATTTTTATTATTTGAAATTAGGCTTGGTATAAACATAAATAACATTTTTCAAACTTGGTAAGTGTACATTTAGTTTTGTTAATTTTTTGTCTCTTAGGACAAATTATCTTTTTTATTTGGGCAAATAACAATTGTACCATCTTATAATTTTCACACGTATTTCTCTGCTAAATTACAATTTACAAATAACTTTCTGCATTGCCTATTTCTTTTTTTTTTCATTAAATTAGTCCTTCGAAAAGTTTACATAAAATTTTTATATAGCAATAATTTTTATAATATATTTTTTAACTCAACAACCGTGTGTAGTAAACTCATATTGTACTAGTTAAGGAAATAAATATGAAAAGTTTATCATTAAACGACATTTATGATTTATGACGAAGCAAGTAAAATTTAGCTAGTTTAATGGGGTAATTAAATTATATCTTACACTTCTTTTGGGCTTGCTACGGACCATGCTGGCCCGGTGGTGGTTTATGGGCCGTTCCCCGGCCCGATTTGGTGGTGGAAGGTATGTATGGGTCTCTGGGCCTCTGTAGTCAATACCATACACCTCAGAATTCATATTCTTTCCATGAAGAGTCCCTGAAAAAATAAAAAATAAAACAAAATAAAATAAAAAATTAAAAAACATAAAAATTAAAAAAAAAACCCATCTTTTATCAAGCAAAATGTCCTCCATAAGATTAGTCAAGCCAAAAAAAAAAAAAAAAAAAAAAA